AATCCCACAACAGAGGGGTCCTCTGAGAGACCGGGCAAGCCAGACAGCTGCTCAATATCCTCAGTCTCTAAAGCGGCTATACCAAAAGCCCACTGGTACCCTTTTGCGTCCTTAAAATACCCTCTCTTGAGATAGACAATGCCAAGGATGCACAGGGCATCTGAGCCAGTCACAATGGGGTGCTTTTGCCACTCCTTCCCAGTCAGGGTTATTCAGCCTCCACCACAGTCAGTTGTTGGGAGCCCTCCATCACACCACAAATACTGATTGGGTGCAACCCCTCCTGCGTGATGGCATGAGGATACACTGTGCACCCGTGTCCACTACAGCTCTGTACTCCTGCAGCTCTGATGTGCCAGGCCCATCGAATCCACACAGCCCAGTCAACACAGTTGTCCCTTTCCTCCACCTGGCTGGAGGCAGGGCCCCTCTAATACTGATGTGCTTCACTCATGTCTTGGAGGTCAGGTCTTCCATCCCATTTGGACATGGAAGCAGCAATTTTCCTGGAAAAATCCCCACTGTTGAATTTTCTCCCTTTCAGTTCACATACTCATTCCTCTGAGTATGAGGTAGGTTTTCCATCCCACCTCATCATGCCCTCTCCATGGTCACGTAGGTAAAACCACAAGGCACCCTCTGATGGATACCTGCTATATTCCCTTCTTTGAGCAGATGACCCGCTATCAGCCTAGCCCAGGTCTTAACAACCGCCCCACCCCAGGCCAAACTTGCACCCTAGGGTGCACTCGATCCCACCATCCATGTCACTAACAAAGATGTTAAACAGCACAGGTCCCAACACCGATCCCTGAGGAGCACCATTCGTTACCGGTCTCCACTCAGACATTGAGCCGTTGACCACCACTCTCTGAGCGTGACCATCCAGCCAGTTCTTTATCCATTGAGCAGTCCATCCGTCAAATCCATGTCTCTCCAGTTTAGAGACCAGGATGTCATGTGAGACAGGATACTATCTTACTCCTGATTTCATATAGATAATAGATTTAATTCTTATGATAAACTGGTTTGTTTTAAGGATCATATATTTCCATTTCTGTGAGTAGTTCAAGAAGCAGCATTAATCAAAAAGACAACCCAAGATAAACCAATACATAGAGAGGTTTGAACACTTCTATGACACATTGCATCCTTCTTGTCAATTAAGATGACTTCTTTTAGTTTATCCCTAACTCTCATCAATCTCTTTGGTGTTTTCAAATCAGATGTGTGATCAGCTTCTCATGTACACACATGTATGTCATTATGTATCTCACTGTGTCGTGATTTACTGTTACCTCACTCCTTGACTTACATGATGAGATTCTGCTCTTACTTGTGACTGCAGAGCCAGAATACTACTTTAAAAATAACAGTTGATTTCATTTACTTCAAATATGTGTAATGCATAAAATTTATAGAATCTTTGTTATGAAGATAAATGAATATATGCACACACAAACCAAAGATTCTACAGCAAGAATAATAGTACAAAAGAGGTATTTTTATTTCCCCTCCCCCCCCAAGGGAAAATCAGTATGTTGTAACAATAACTAAGGAAGGAGATGAAACAATGCCAGCTGTGGACAGAATCACTTTCATGTCACTTTCTCTGTAACCAGCCATTAAGTTTGAAAAACTGGAATGCAGTTAAATTTGTTGTTAAGAGCCATCTTGTCAATGTGCAATGGAAATGTAGATTTTGTTAATTACTCCACAGCTTTTCTAAACGATAACTATCCATCAGAGCGGCCGTGCTATGAGGCTTCATAGTCTCTTGTCAGCCATGCAGTTTATCTGTTGCGATCATTGTGTCTGTGGGCTACATGTACCTGTTCTCTCACGGGTGTATGAACAGGCCAGATTGCCTGGCTGCTCTATACTTCACTTCTGGGAGGGATCTGATATTTAACCTCAACTGAAAGGCCCTGAGGGAGGTGAATACGGTGCTTGAGGTATATGGGGAGCCAGCATTATCTCATGGCTGAAGCAGGGGAAGATGGGTGTTCTTCATATTTGCTGGTGCAACATGTGCAGAGATTGGAGACAAACTGGGGAAAAGTTGAGAAGATGTAGCTCTGTGGTGATTCCTCTCTAGACAAGAAGCATCGCTGTGTTCACTTCGGCTTCCGTGTTTTGCTTTTCAGTGTAGTTCTCATACCGGTGAGACAAAGATCTACAGTGCAGAAGGTGATCAGTTTTATTAACTGGATGCAAAAATTCCTTGGCCGGTATTCTGCATAGTGGTAATTTTTGCTGTTCTTACTATGTTCATAATGATGAAGGGTTATTAAAACCGGAAACTTCTTATTTACTGACTGTTAGATGATCAGCTTCTGCTCTTACTTATACCAGTGCAGATCCAGGATAGTGCTGCAGAAACCTAGTTGATTTCAGTCATCCATTTAAAAAATAAGTAACAGCAAAAATATTTAGGTCTTTTACAGGAAGATATAATACATACAATTTTATTTTTCAGAAGAGCAAGCTGCTGCTAAGGATGCTTCCCAGGAGGAGTCTGAATCAATTCCAGAGTACACCGCTGAAGAGGAGCGAGAGGACAACAGGTTATGGAGGACGGTTGTCATTGGAGAACAAGAACAGAGAATTGATATGAAAGTCATTGAACCTTACAAAAAGGTCATTTCACATGGAGGTAGGAAAATCTTGAGTGCATTTTTTACACTGATGTAAAAAAATCATGCTTTATAGAGCATGACTTAGTTCTGGTTTAGCTCAGTTATCATACTAGCATGGGTGGGGGAGAGAGTTTATTTTTCAGCCATGGCGGAAATCAGCCAGCTTTCAGTTCAGTGTGACAATGACTAATAAGTATTTTAAATACAAAGTAATTTCAGGATCGACAAGTAAACTGACCTGCATGTCATTGTAGGCTGAAACTGTTGTCCTACAGAAAAACTAAATGAAGACTTCATTTTGGCAAAAACTTTTGCATGAACAAGTATAGCGTTCTGTGGTTTGTTGAGTGATGTATGTGGGTGAACAGATCTAAACAAGTAGAGTGACAAAAATAAAAAACATTCAGTTTTCCCTGGGGCTTCCTTTCATCTGGCTAAGCTCCTTATGTTATTTTTCTGCCGTTTATAGTTGTCAGCAGATAGCATTTCACCAGCAACTGGTTCATGTTTTCTTCGTGTAATTTGTTGAGGATTATCGAATAACACATCAAATAAGACATTTAAAGTAGGAAAATTGCTTCATGTGCTTTCTATATTGTCCCTTTGCTCATTTGCTCCCTAACCTCCTCAGAGAACTTGTGGTTTTGGTGTTACTAACAGACTTCTGTAGAAATTAATTAAAATGGATAAATACCACTAGATATTGAAGGAAGAAAATTAAACAAAGCTTTTTAAGTGCCTTTTCATTGGTGTCTCAGATTTAGATTATCTTTGGATTCTATATGTTTGGGGGACACTGTTTGCCAGCTGTTAAGTAAGGATGAGTTGCTGTATTTCTGAAAAAACTGAGGCAGATAACTTAGCAGCTGAGAGGTAAGATCTGTGAGTTTATATGAGAATGTTTCTGTCATGTTGTTGCTGATCTGTAACGTCATTAAAGGTAAACCATTGTTTCCAGTATATTTTCAGTGTTGAATCTCTATCTGGTAAAAGCGACATAAATAAATGATACTTGATTATATTACCTGAGGATGTGGTCCTCAAATCTGCACATTTACATTAAAAGCAGCTGAATGCTCTCTTACAGATGTTCCCAGTGGCCAGCACGCAGTAGGTTTAGTTGGAATTAATAAAGATGTCTAAACCCCCAAGCATTTTCCCGCTATAACAACACCATCAAAGATTTATGAATGTGACGACACCTCAGATACAGTTTAGCAAATAGACACAGATGGCATAGTTTAGGAAACAAACATAAAATATTTTGAGGCCTTGCTAATGGTGTTTGTTTATGGTTTTTTGTATGCTGTAAAGTAGTCTAGGTAGGTTTGTGGTAAAGACTGCCACATACAGTTTCTGCTAGATGCTGATGTATACATTTATAACAGCTCTTATGAAAAATATGTCTGTTTTAGTGAGGGAAGAAGCAGCTCTTCTTTGAGCACTGCTTGACTGTTGAACAAAGACTAATTCCAGTGTCACACATCTCTGATGGCAGCTATGAGATGCATAATAATGTACAGCTATTGCTGTAGTCTAGGTCATTCAGCTCAGTTCTCAGTGTGAAATAATCAGAATTCAAATTTTACGTGTTTGACATCTTGTTTTGTTAGATCATTCAAATCTGAGATAAAGAACATTTCCTCTACTTTTGAATGGTGCTGATCAGTAACAACCATTGTAAAAGAAACAGTGTGAGATGTAACGATAAGTTTCAGGCCACCACTTGCTAACTTGGAAATTTTGCCTGAAATCTAGCCTTATCAAAATGAGTTAAGGACTGGATTAAATTCTGTGTTTATGAAGTGGCAGACTGAAGATGTGGAAATGAAATTGTTTTGATATATGGGACGTGGGAAAGCTTTGGATAGCTTGAACAGTTTCTGCAGCATGGCAGCTGGGCCTGTTCTGTGTGATGTTCCTTTGTCAATACTTCAGTATCACTGGAGTGCTTTGGAGGGCCTGGAATCTATTTTAACATCAAGATTAAGAACAGATTCTGGCTAAAATTACTTAATTGGAAGTCAGGTCAAATAACTCTTGTTGAACATCCCTCCCTGCCTAATGGCAAATAACATCAAATGCAGAATCTAGGTCCTAGCCACAAAATAAGAAAGGAGAGAGTAGGCTTGGAAGTCTAGGTATAGGATTGCCTTCCATATATGGTGATGAAGATACTTCTTAGAGATCTGTCTCGTTGCACAGACTGACTGAGAATTTGGGCAAATGGTTTTTACTGGTTTCTAGTAATAAATTAAAAAGCCTATCTCCCTCAGATACACATGCTTGTAGACAAGGAGTGCTCAAGAAAAAGTGGCTTAGTGTTACTGGCGGGTTGTTCTTCTCTGTGATGTTAGGTGGCATCTGCACACTTCGCATTACACAGCAGAGTTTGCAGTTCATGTAATTTAGTGGACACGCCTGCCACAATGTGCTCTTGCTGCCAAACTCCTGAGCCAGCTGGACAGACTGCTTTATGGCAGCATGATAGATATCGTCTTGAAAGTCTTTTAGGGATTTTTAGATTTGTAGAAGAAAGGAAACCCTCTCACTATTTGTAAAGCTGAGGGGGAAAAATACTGCTTTATTCCATAATTTTTTTAGCTGAGGGATGAGCTAGGATGGGATAGGTGACAATGAGTACTGTCTTTTTGAAAATACGAGAGTCTAATGAGAGAATGGAAACATAAGAGAGTAGTATTGAATGATCAGTGTGGAAGATGGAGTTCTTTTCATTTCTTTTGGAAGACTGGTATATTCCTTCATGTTAAACTCTTAAAAGATGCTGAGAACAGGACTGGATTTATACACACACCCACCCCCGTCTACATCCTTGCTAGAAAATGCAATGCTGCTCTTTTGAATTTGACCTCGACATCTTCACTGGTACACTGAAGTCAATCACACATGCCTATAGCTATAAATATACTGTTCACGTTTACTGGATCCTAACATGAGCCTAAGCTATGACACACCATGTCATGCCCGAAGAACTTCTGTAACTGGGGAAGCAGTGGTGTTTTCCTGTCCCTTAAGGAACAGCTGAAGGCCCTGAACACAGGGCACCTCTGCATGTCCTTACGACTGGGGTAGTGTTGAGATTAATCTGCTGTGGTTCTCCTTGGCATTGAAGACTTCATGGGCAATTGCCTTGAAGCACCCCTTGCCAGAGGTCCTAGATTCTTTGAAGATGTCTATAAAGCCCTGTAAAAAATCGCTTCTTTGGTAGAAACATCTTATCCTTATTTCAGCTAGCTGAGATGCAGCTTAGGTGTTTGTTGAGTGAGAAAGGAGAAAACAAACTAGTCTCTTGCTCTTCCCTGCAGACATGCAGACTGTGTATTATCTCTGTCGTTCCATACAGAATTTTGCTTTGGTTGGCTGGTTACAGTGCAAGGAGTTCTATGAGCATTTGAGTTCTGGATACTGCTCTCTAGTATCCAGAAGCACTGTAAAAGTCTTAAAATCTCCTTTTGTGAAAGTGTTGTGTAGGTACTGGTATTATCATTTAATTTTGTTGGAAATGTGTTGCTATCTCCAAGGGTGATTCAGGGTTTTAGAGAACACCACTATTGGACAACTGCAGTGTTCAAGGTAAAAAAGTTTCATACAAAACTTACAGCAAAGGATTTAACTGATCCCCAGGAGCATTGAACGTGTAGTGGGGTAATCATAATTGTAATATCCTGGCACATATTGGAACGACCAGCTGAGATTGGATTGTGAGACTTTGTGAAACATCATTCACAAGACGGAGGATAACAAATGTTGGATGTTTTCTTTAGCCCCTGTTCCTCAGTCATGTGCATTCAGCATGTGATTGCTGTAGAGATGCAATGAACTAGGAGTTCAGATAAGATTGTGTTGCTGAAAAAGTAGAATAAAATTTATTTGATTGTCTCTATAAAATGTTTACTTATGTTATGCTAAGTGTGTTTTTCAGGAATTCAACATAACTGGCTATCTTACTTCCTTATCAGTTGATGATATTTGTACATTTTTGGTCTTCTTCAGCAGCAGACATAATCACATTAGTCTGGGACTTTGAGATTTCTTTTTAAACTTATTTTGTTAAGAGCCTTTGACAAAGACAAAAATGCCTTTTCCTTTTTTCCACAGGATACTATGGTGATGGCCTGAATGCTATCATTGTGTTTGCAGCATGCTTCTTGCCAGACAGCAGTCGAACTGATTACAACTATGTCATGGAAAACCTTTTCCTGTGAGTGATATGTGAGCAATGTGACAGAATCTTTTGAGTTAGTACTCATAATCATGTCGTGAGAGATAACCTGTGTTTAATTAAGAGGTAGTTTTGGTCATTAGAAGGGGACTGATCTGAATGACAACAAAAATAGACGTTTTAGATAAACTAGTCAGCAGAGTATTATTTTGGTATTATTTATGTGCTCACCCTCCCAAATTAAGGCGTATTTGTCAGGACCCAATCTGACTATAGTACCTCCCTAAATATCAAGGAGTATAGTATCTTCAGCTTTTTAGGCCTAGAATCATGATAAGAGTGATCTCTAGCCCTTGCTGAGAACAGTCAGCAGAGACTTAGGCCACCAGGCTGTGGTTTTCCCTGTTTGTTGTTTATTATATATGATCATGATGCATCATTGTATGTAATGTTTAATAGATGCTGTGACCTGTTTAGGAGTCACAGGACCCTTTTGTTACACTTGTTTTAAAAATACAGGATGAATGACAGTTGCTGACACAAACAGCTCTAAATATTTTTCCTGACTCCAGCTGCTTCTGACTCAGTTGTAAGTGGCAGGGACCAGTAAGGCAGGACACAAATTTGACCACATGAACCCAAATTTATCACAGGAACATTACTGCTAATAGCAACTTGGTTTGGCAGGCAAAAATTGTGAAGGCAGCTCTCCCCTGAAGTGCCTCCAGCCACTTCTGCTGAAAGCTGTTTAAAAAAAAGAAAATTATTCCAGTGTTTTCCATGCTAAAGCCTAGTAAGTCATTTCTAAAGTGAGCAGAGGCCTAGCCTTTGTCATTTGCAGCTTACAAGACACCAAGAGCACAAGCCCAGTCTCCTTAAAACTCCAGTCCTTGAAGATGCAGGTGGTGACAGCCAATGCCTTCAATGTCTACATGTGAAAAACGAGATGGAGTTCTTTTAGTTTTCAGGTCAGACCAACTGCTAGGGCTTGTCTGGTAGAGCCTCTAAGACCACCATGTCATCTGCACTAACTGGTTTACACAGCCCAGTGACTGAGAAGTTAAGAGTTACTACAGTGTTTTTGACTTCATAAGTAAGGAATAAAGCTGAAAATACTGACATTAATAGTTGTTCTTTTACTTCACCGAGACCGTTTTTCATAGATAGAGCTGGTGGTAAATGGACTTTACAGAGAAAGCCTTTTCAAGCCTTAAGAGACTTTTTCCACATTGCTTAGGGACATTGCCAAAGTCAATTTTACAACTCTCTCTTTTTCTGCAGTGGTAGTGTAAGAGAGTTCAGGTTGGCTGTGAACCTTCAGCTTATTTTAAGGCTTATAGAATCATGGTTGTCTGTAAGACAACAAGAAAAGGGAAAATCACATCGCCCCTTTCAGTTGTAGGCCTATTAATTGCATTGAAGTAGAGGGGGTGCAACCATTTACAATATATTCAATAACTGGGATATATAATTATTCATCGTGAGAAGTATGTATGATTGTTCTCATTGTAGCTGATTATTTATAATATTCACAATTCCATTTGCACCTAGGAAAACATATAGAAACAGAGACAGTCTGAAAAATCCCTAACTGTAAGGCTTGCAGTGTTTTCAGAATTACTTAGACACACTTTTCTGTATGTCTTATGTTTAAATGCCTTTAAATCACTATATGTTGTGCCTTATGGGAAAGGCTAATTTCATAACCTGTCAAATAATCAGTAGGTTCAGTTACATTAAGCTTTATGTCTCAGAATGTCCATATAATGTCCTTCGCTTTGATATTTTCGTGTTAGACGTGAGCCTTTACTGGTGTCGAGGAATGCAGAACTGCAAGATGAGAAAGAGAGTGAGTGGTGATTTAGGTGGAATTTACAAATTCATGCAACTGGTCAGTTAATGGGTGTCTTCTTTATACCCAGGTAAAATATCACTCTTTGGTGAGAGCTAGGTTTCCTACTCTTCTTTTAAAGAAACTGCATCTTGAGGAATTTAAGGGTCAGATTAGATTGTGAGTCATTCCCATACATGTGTGAAAGGGACCATTATGCTCAGGGATAAAGCTGCCTTTTGTAGTGAGCCACTCAGGCGTTCAGGTTTTTAAGGTGTGATTTTTTTTTTTTTTCATTGTAGTTTTTACATAGACATACCTTGGGGACTGGGTAGCAGAGAGAACAGTTTGAATATTCCTGGGATGAACAACTCCCAGGCAAGGTAGGGACTACCAAAACTACGTGGAGCCATCTGCATATACAGTCCCGGACAAGAATTTAAAGTTACCCTTTCGCTTGACTGGGTACTGTGCTTTTCTAGGTAGGGTGAGTTTGGCCCGAGGAGTTCTGTACTGTCTCAGTCATTGCTGAACTAAGGAATTTAATGAGTGCTTGCAGTGTTGTGCTCACAAAATTAAGTGATGCCATGAAGTGCTCTGTCCTGTCAGTAGGCAGGTTGATGGACAAGTTTTATTAGCCTTGAGATTAAAAATTTTTGTAGTTGGCAGGCATAGACTCAGTAGCAGTAGTATAAGGATCACAAAAATTATAGACAAGTAGCTTCTCCTGACCCTGATTATTCCTGCATTGAACAAACATGACAATTAGTAGTGAAGACAAGATTCTCAGTTATCTCAGTTGTTTCTGGAACTTCACATGGTCCTGCCACGCTTTCCCTTGCAAAACCTCATGATTTCTTGTACTTTTTAAGAAAATGTGAAGTCATCTGTGAGATTTGAAAACTCACTATGAAACTGTATCTTTGTAAGGAAACCACGTATTTCTGAAGATACAGATAAGATTGCGGTTTTCCAGTTACACATCTTCAGGTAGCAGAGCGATGCATGCTGAATGTTTGCATTGATTTAAAGGAAAAAACACTGTCTCATCATAAATTGCTTAGTCTGCCTTGATTTATTCCTAGTAGACTGATTTACTTTGGGCTTCAGTGGGTAATGTGAATTATGTGCTCACTTCTGTACTTTCATCAGCTATGTAATCAGTACCTTAGAGCTGATGGTAGCTGAAGACTATATGATTGTCTACTTGAATGGAGCAACGCCAAGAAGGAGGATGCCTGGACTGGGTTGGATGAAAAAGTGTTACCAGATGATTGATCGACGGTGAGTAGTATTTTCTTTTCTGATCCAAAGCCATTATCTTAAACACTGTCCATTTCTGTTACTCCCTATGTGACAGTGTTTACTGCATATGACCTTACTGCATATGACCTTTCTGTATGTTTTGTGGGTTGTTTGGATTGTTTTTAGGAATCCTTTTTTTTTTTTTTACTTAGACTACGGAAGAATCTGAAGTCATTTATAATTGTTCACCCATCATGGTTTATCAGGACAATTCTGGCTGTGACACGACCTTTTATAAGGTATGTAGTGAATACAGGTGATTTTTCTCATGTAAGGATTTTCACAGTTGAAGCTGACTTTCCTAAAGTGGAAAAGAAACCCATGATTTATATGAGGATCTAGTGGTAGACGTCACAGGCATGATACTGTAAACCTGTATGTGTATGCAGAACTTGGAATTCATTCCCTTAAAATTGCCTTTGTTCCAAGCCCATCTAAAAGGCACATAGAATAGTGGCCTGCACATAATGATAATCATCTCATTAAAAAAAATACTGGTTACAGGACAAGACTAAGCTAAAATTTTGTGTTTAAAAAAAAATCAGTTGCTGCTTATGCAAGAGGACTGCCAGCACCCTGAGCTGTTTCAGTACATAGGAGTCCCATGTCCAAAAAAAAAGATTTTATGCCCCCAGAAATAATTCTTTGATTAGTAAAAAAGCAAAGCAGCGTTACAGACCCTGAAGACCTCACAAATTGCTGAAGAAGATGGTCAAGTAGGCAGTTGAAATCCTGAGATAAGGGAGCGCAGACTGATAAGTGTGAGGAAAAAGTTGCTTAGGCAACAGAAAAAGCATCAGAAAGCAGAAGCCATGCAGAGAATAACACAGTCATGACAGACCTCAGAGAGGTCTGTCTCCAACCTGCAGATGAGGACACTGGAGTTGTTTGTTGCAGGGTGCTCTGTCCTGACAGGTGACATTGGGATAGGAAAGTACCCAAATTCTCCCGTTGCTGCAGAAGTGTGAGAGGCAGAGTGTCGTAACACGGCATCTTCTTTCAGATGTGGTGTCTTTAATACCAAGTAGAAAATGACAATTAAAAATGTCCGAGTAGGAGGGAGACTACTTGGAATTGTTGACAGAAATGGTGGGAATTCACTGACTTGCATTTGGTGTCTGAGATATTTCTCTTGGCATTCTACTTGCTCCCAGAGGAAAGGTAGGCAGTAAAATCTTTAAAAATCAAATATGCCATGCCTGTTTTGATTCATTAGTCATTTATTCAGAATGATCATACTGAGCAGCAGGGACTAGAGGTTTTGTATTGCCAAACAGGAGGAAAGGTTTGCTCTAAATAGTTTGGCAAAGGAAATTAACAGTACAAAACTAAACACAATAGTTAAAACTATTAAAAAATAGTTAAAATCGTTAAAACTCTCCATTTCAGCCAAGTAGATTGAGTCTCTGAGCAAGAAGAAAGTGAAGTGCATATGGAAGATGAAAAAACGTGGCCAGGACACATGGCCAGTGTGACTTTTGTGGAAGGTGATGTAAGATATTTGAATCCTCACTGAGGACAGAAGAGCACTATGGGAAAGCTGAGTAGAAAACTCCAGGAGGCGTGAAAAGACAGAGTCAGTTGAGTAAAAAGCAGTATAAGGAGACAGATACTTGATTAGATTGAAGGCCGATGGCTGTAGCTTCGTTTGCTAGCCCCGAGCTGTTCACCAAGCCACTGACATGCACAGTGGGATTTTAGAGTAGGTAATGAATTGGTCCCAAGGCAAGCAGAGATTTCAATGAGCTTAGCTAAACATGAGCAACATAATTTTAACTCTGTTTCAGCTGAGATGTGGAACAAAACAGTAGGAATCAAGAAACTGGACGACAGCAGAATGGCAAGGGACAGTCAAGTCACTGAACGTGTGCTACAGTCAACTCTGTCTCAGAAACTGTCAAGGTCATTCAGTGGAGTCTGGGACTCAACTGACAAACACTGAACAGTTGTCTGAATGCACAGGATGAAAGAATGAGTGGTTGCGAAGATACTCTTTATGGAACAAATATTCACTCTTGAGATCATCTTAGTGATGTTAGGGAAGAAATTAGATTTCTAATAAAACAAGTGTCTGTGAAAGGTATCTGGAATTTGATGGAAATATTTAAATAATAGCAAGTTCACCACTATTGGAAGCACACCTGCTCTGAAGTCTGAAAGAAACAAGGGGTTTTTATTTCAGTCATATATTTGAGATGCCTATACGCAGATTCCCACATAAAGCCATTACTCAGAAATCAATCACTGTGGTGGAAGTAGTGGACCAAGGAGAATCTTCAGGTGGAAAAATTGACCCTTGAAAGACTTTTTCTTTTTTTTTTTTTTTTTTTAAATTCTGCTGCCAGTCTTTAGAAGCTTCTGATTGGCTTGCAGCTTGCCAAGTTACTTTAGCTGCACTTCAGATGATGCACATTATGATTTAACATTTTGGATCAAATGCTAAGACTTACCTATATCTTATCATGGCTTTGACTGGACAACTGTGAGTGATTCACGTGTCTTAAAACATGGCCGTTGGCCTGCTGCAGTGTGTGGGCATAGTGATGCTAATCTGGTAGAGAGACAAATTAAAATGGATGAGCTTAAACAACTATTCACAGTACCTTCATGTATTCCTGTTTCAGTTGTCTGGCTTTACCTTATTAGGAATGTATGTATAGTAAGGGGAGGGGCATCAAACTACTCAGAGCTATTTCAGGGGCTTCATGTTGTCTGGTCATACCCCCAAAATCAGCAGTAAATGGGAACAATGTGTTCTGTTTTCTGTGGCCTGCACTTAAGAACATTTATGGTCAATCTGCATTCATCACTGTTGCTGATGTTAAAATACTATCTAAACACAACCAGAGCTGAATTTGGAAAATTGCTTTGTCAGTTAAATGAGAAAGATTTATCATAGGGTGATACATATAAAATAATTCAGGATAGACAAGTGAATAGCCTTTTTTTTTTATGAGCAATGTAGCCTTTTTCTGAGTAATGATTTCTCAAACACAATAAAGGATCATATAGCACAGCTGAAATAAACAAGGGAAGTATTTCCTCATAATAAGACCCTGCAGTAGGAATAGACAGGTGCATAAACAATCAAATCTGTACTCACCTAAACATAGGAGGAAGTTTAGGTTTATTATTTTTGATTGAGAATCAGTGTCAAATATAAATGCTAATTCATCACAATCGCTTATTGCTAATTTATCATGACCACAATAAGTGAATGATTCGTATCTCTTTTTACATACAAGTATGCTGTTGGGGATTTGATTATTTTCAAAATTTTAATACATCTCCTTTGGACTGTAAAACTGATTGCATTGCTAGTAAGCAGACATTACAATGTAGTGTTGTCCTAAATACAACACCCTAAGCCAGGAACAGCAAAAGGTTTAGACTTGATTTCAGTTCAGCATCACTAGAACTCGGGTATGCTCTTGATAGCTGACCTCTGAAATATGAATTATTTAATGCATTAAATACACACCTTCTCTTACTTTTTAATATATCATAAAAGATTTTGAGGGGCAAGTCAATTACCGTGTTGTTTTTGTGTTTCAGCTCAAAGTTCAGCAGTAAGATACAGTACGTCAGCACACTGTCAGAGCTTCGTGAAATGATTCCAATGGAATATGTGCACATACCAGACAGTATTGTCAAGTAAGTAATGTACAGGAAGCATGTACTGTTCTACTGAAAACTAGTTCCACAAACTGATAATAGTGTTTCAGAGTCTGTAAGAAAAACAGGATGCCCATTCCTGGTACTGTTACCAACGCATATATGTTGTTCCACGAAAATTTCTGTCAAACTCAGAAGCAGGAAACACTGTGTAATTGAAACACGAAACACAGTAGATAATATACTCTTAGGGGAACCAGTATTTCTGGGAAGGAGGAGGTTTGGTACAGGACCAAATGATACTGCTGGTAAAATGAAGAAAAACTTTTCAGGCTCAGAGTCCCTTCATCAACACTATAACTATATAATCCAAATTGGAACAGGCTGTTTACTCACTAATTGTAACCCAGAGAGAAAATAGGAGAACAGTTTAACCCTTCCACAGGTATCACCTATGCTGTATTTTTCCGTAACTTTTACCACTATTTAAGTAAGTGTTCTAAGTTTTAGTAATACAGAGGTAATAATTCAAAGATAGCCTATTCAGTATAAATCCACTGAAAGTCCAAATGTTCACCATTCCTTATCTTACTGATTTTCATAGTTTAACCCAGACCTGCAGGCAGTTCTTGCTTCTTTTGTGGAAAGGGTTTTGCCTTTTTTTTTTTTTTTAAAGGCGGGTATTTCTAAAGGAAAGATATCTGTGGAAAAAAATGTAGGAAGTTGATTTGAATTGGTCATCTCAACTGGCTGCTTTTTCAGACCTGAAAACAAAAAACTGAAATGGTATACCAAGACTGAAAACTTCGGAAATCATTCATGGTTTTCGTGTGGGTCATTATTAAAAAGATACACTGTTGAAGAATGATTCTTTTTTAAGTATTCTTTTCATCATACGTCTTGGGTTTTGAACAGGCAAATGTTTGGTACTAGAAAGTATTCTGATGAGTAAATACACAAGCATGATTGTCTTTTCCATATGGTTTGTCAGTGACTAGGTATGAAGAACACTTCTTTTGGAGCTGCTATAGGTCTCTTCAACCCAGGCAGGATTTTTTAGACTCCTCATCGTAGTTGTGAAACCAGCCTAATTTCCTTCATTTGCCTGGTGTTTGCTCCAATAACTCGTGGTGTAATTCTAGGGACCAAGTGGGAAGCTCAGTTCTTGCATTGCCGCTTGTAAAAATAGTAAACTACAGTCCTGAAATCAGGGATCACAGGGACTTTCACTCAAATTTATTTGCTTGCTCTGACTTCTTTAGTGGTGGAGTGATGCTGAGGATGTGGAGCACAGAGGTCATTGGTCACCTGATAAAGAGATGTCCAGAATGTTTTAACATCCCTAAAATTTTTTCATCCTTCCTCCATCCTTTCCTCCTTCCCTTCCTTCCTCTTTCCTGTAAATACTTTTAGTTTCTTACAGTGCTCTCTGATACAGACTTTAACCTGACTATTCAGTGTCTTTGTTTCTACTGTTACACTGACTGTAGCAAGTACACACATCTGTGTTACACACGTTTTCTTCCCTGTAGGCTGAAAACTCTTTGGAAAGTCCACTCACAACTCAGACCAAAGGTGAAACGATCGCAGCATCAGTACCAAAGAAACTTTAGGACCTAGAGCTTAAGAAACTTTAGGGAACTGCCTGTTTCATGTCAGCAGCAGCCAGATAAGAGGGCATGTTTTTGCTGAAGAAAATTGCTACAACGAATGCTGATAAGTGCCCATTGCTGGCAAGCATTTTCAGGATGTTGTGGCCCAAAGATTTAGTGAGGTTGTGTATTCAAGGCATTGGGAGCGGTTATTCCCACGCCACAGGGAAAAGAGCAGCATTCAGCTGATGGCGTCCCTTCTACTGCAAATAGAGAAAGAATCCTGTACCACAATAAAATAAAATTCAGCTCTCAGCTTCGTAATTGCTCCGCTGGCAAGAACAGAAATCTGGTCACGAGGGAGCCCACCTGGCTTATGCCAGGATTTGGGTTGTGTGGTTGGTTGGTAGTTTTTGCGGAAGTGGGGTACAGTGTGCCTGTGTATCATATGAACTTGTACATCTTTTCTCTTCCTTCACCCACTCTTAACCTTGTAAGGTATGACGAAGAGAAGTGTATTAAGAGAAGAATGAGGTAAAACTTGCTTTTTAGCCCATGCTGCTGCTCATAATGGAGTGAATCTGTGTGACAGCCCTTCACCTGTAGGTGACCTCAACAGCTGAATGAGAGAGGACTTCCCGTGACGTGGAATCTTACTTTCCCCTTCAAGCTGTTGAGATCAGCCTCCCTTGCTAAAAACAAACTTACTCAACTGTAAATATCCCTGACTTGGCCCAGGCTGCAGCTAGTCTAATTCTGACTCATAGAGCAACTGAACGCTTTCTGCTCTGTCTACTGGGCATGCCTCAGACCCCTGCTGCTTTTATGTTTCTGCCTCCAAATGAGCTAAATAAGGAGTTACAAACTGAAGGTGGGTTGAGCACGAGGATAAATGGTATACTGAACTGGAGCGCTCTAGGGTCAGTGCATTGTAGTGGGTGCCTATTTTAGAAGCATGTACTGTATTTGTTCTTTGCTCTGCTATTGCTCTGCTTCTCTCTTACGCTCTGCCTGCTTGTTTCTTTGTACCAATAACTTTTACTCATGCAGACTGGATGAAGAGCTGAGGGAAACTTCAGAAGCAGCTAAGTAAGATGGCTTTCGGCTCGATGCTGGCACTGTATTTGTTTGGTTCGCAGGAATGGATTGAATGCAGTAACGCATTGCGTGTTTGGTACAGCAGTCAGCTCATGGTTTCAATTACTGTGTGAAGTTGCCACATCTGTGAATTGACTTCCCCTCTCACTATAAGCAGCCTGCTTGTGTACCATTGGTTCTCAGTAAGGAATATCCTTACGCTATAAAAAACCCTTTTTGCTCTTTCTTTGATGAGTGTTTCTATAGTCGTGGGGAGGACTTGAAAACACCTCTTTCCTCCATTAAGCACGTTCTACCCTTCACCCGTTATGTCAGATGATTCATGAAGTTTTTAGGAGGTAGGAAGTTTTAAAAATATTTTTTTTACAATTCATTAGGTTAGGGATAGCTGTTGTATCTCACTCTCAGTTAAGGTAGGCAGGTAACTTCTGCTTTTCCAGTGTTGGTTGGATGGGCCAGTGGATTAATACTTTAATAATACTGTATTGTCTATGGTCACTTAATAAATCAGTGTCAGCTGATGACCTTTAAAACTGATGTCACTTTAAACTTGTAACTCAGTGCTTCGACTTTTAACATACTGAGGCAGTATGGCGTAAAGTACCATAAGTAGAAATCCTAACTGGCAGGACACCATCCTTGTGTCTCTGAGCAGAGCTTAGAAGGTATCCAGTGTACTTCTTTCATGTGTTTTACACCAGATTCCGAGCATGGGAGCTATGTCTGTCGGTTGGAGTATGGCATTTTCCCTGTATTTTTTGTAACAAACTTCTCAGTTTTTGAAGTTTCTTTTCAGTCTCCTTCCACTTTAGAGTTTTCATCTTACCACTTCTTCCTTATGTGTGTTTTTTCTAATGTTTTTTCTTTCACAGTGCACATTTTCCTCTGGTTCTCCTATGATTAGCTTTTAAAACCACCAGAGAAATACCCGAAACACTGGCTTCCGCTTTTTGATTCTAGCGGTTAGACTGCCTCACAAACAATAAATTCACATAAATAGTTATCTGATACCACCTGAGTATTTTGTTAAACAAAAGCGGCCCACCCAGCCTTGAAATGCAACTTCTGTCCCTTCTATTCAAACATTTTCAAATGCATTGCAGTAATATGACACTGAAAACTTTGTGGAAGAAAGCTGCTTTCTTGTTATTCCTTTTGCTTAAAAAAGCACAGGCTGCAACATAAGAAGTGAAAGGGAAACTAAATATTCATATGAGGCAACACTGATTATTGTTATTGTTGGATGTATGAAGTCACTGTAGTGCATTTTCCTTCCCCAACTTTAAGAAATAGCTTAAACATGTATTACTGAAACTACCCTGTGTTGCAGGCACTAAGCTCGCTACATTCCTATCAGTAACATTTGTGTGTTTGTGCCATCAGAGATACTCACTACAGTTAGTTACTACATCCCCCAAATTTGATGTCCTATTCAAAAAGGGAAAGCAATTAAATCAGAAGAAATATTTACTACTACCTCTTTTTCCTTGTATCCAGAACTAGCTGCCTCTCAAATGACCCTGAAATGACTTCAATGGAGCAGGAGTAAGAATTTATGCATAATCTTGTCATTACATTTTAACATTATTTTGCAATCATGCTGCTAGGAACTGAGGCTGGGTAGACTCCATAAAGCTTTTTGGAGGCCTAAAAGCTATTATAGTTATTTTCAGGAACTTGAGTCGACATACACAAGCAGAAAAAGCACTGAAGTTAGTGTTTATTATATTTGCATTGCAGATGCGTTTAAAGTGTTCTTGACCATTTCTGAGCAGAGACAGAATTCTTAGCTTGAGGATATTCAGGTTCAGTTATGTGAAAAACAGATAGATAAAGTGCGACATGATCAGAGTGAAGATGGTCCCATGCATTCTCCTCAATGGAATGTAAAGTGGTAAACTTGCCACTCTCATTCAGAGGTTAACAGATCTTATATTTTACTTTGATTTCTGGGTTGTGCTTTGGTGTTTTCCTTCTCTTTGCTTTTTGTGCTTCTCAGCTGCTTTCATAGTTATTTCCTTGACTAAATGTCCAGTATCTTTACGTCTCTTCTTTCAAAGCTGGACTGGTTTCCTTGGAAATGGGAATGTGTCAGTCCTCTGGCATGCTGTTCCTCTGTCTCATGCCATAACTGCAGCATGCAAATGGAAAACCCTGCGCTGCTCTTACTGTGCGTCAGTGAGGGTGTTCGTAGCTGCAGCATGTCACACAAACACTAACAGTTCATTGCTAGAGCAGCACGTCAGGAGGAGTAGCCGTTGCGGTAGCGTGTGTACTGCTGGCCAGTGTGTTCGTGGAGGAGGGACTGGGGGGACTTTTTTGTCCCTACCCATCTGACGGGTATGTAGAAATACACCAGTGTCCCACACTGGAATGTTGCTCAGCAAATGTCATGTAGTAAACCTGATTCCTCAGTAAAAGGTTCCATTGGTAACATGAGTATTAACAAGCAGGCAAATAATTAGAAATATGTGTAGCAAACAGGTGCATAAATAAAATGGAGCTTTTCTTGTCACTTCTGTAAAATAAAATTTAGTCTCTTAAATTATCACAGTATCACAATATATGATACATAGGCTAGAACCATAACCTAAATTCCTGATTCTCAGAGCAGTTGACATAAAATCTCCTCTGAGCATCTTTTTTTTTTTTTCCCCCCACAGAACTGTTTATTCTGTAATGAGTCGATTTGAGAATTGGAGTTTTTTAAAGTATGAGAACAGAAAATAAATAACGTGTTAGACTATTAATTTATTACTTTGGCTTTTTTGTGGCTTGAACGATTTATGTGTTTTTCTCGAAAGAGAAGCCTGGCAGCAAAAAGCAATATGAGAAGAGAATTTATACTTAGCGTAAGTAGATATAGTTGAGGCCTAATTAATGCTAATTCCTGCTACTTATTTTCTCTGTATAAATATGAGTCTATCTTTAGAAATGGCAGCAATTGTCCTGTGGTCATGTCACTCATTTCTGGTGTCATTTCTTCAGGAAATAGGATTTCCCATGTGAATGCCTCCACAACAATAACAGTTTTACACAGACTTTGCTAATATATGCTCTCTGCTGAAACCTCTCTGGACTCTGCACAGCCCTTAGTTTGCTTCTGTTGTCTTTTTGATGTCTGTTCCAAAGGCTTTTGTCTATTGTCATGCGCTCTTGTGTTCTATTTTGTTCAGTTTATTGCACTTCCTCATGACTTAAAAAAAAATTTGTTGCAAAATAATTCACAGTGAAAAATCCCATGTGTTCTTTAACAGTTCATAAATACTGAGAGTGCTTTAAATAGTTACGTATTCTGTGAGGAAATTTGTGTTTTGGCGCAGTGTTTCTGATGACAGCTTCTTATTCTAAAGGATGCTTCTAAAGTATCTGACGTGCTTTGCACTGTAATGGCAAAGCTGTGCTACTAGAAACATTTTTAGGAGCACGCATATCTTGCCACAGTGTGGTGTCATTCCACCAGTGGATTTTTCCACTTCTAGTGTCTACTTCAGATTGGAATTGCCAGGAATGTAGATATAATTTCAATGAATCAGCCGCAGATTTTATTAAGGTGTGTACTTTCTATATCTGATAGATAAGATGTGTGTAAATTATTTGACGTCAATGCATTTAGGTGAATGAGGGATGAGGATGCTCAGCGTTTTGCAGGAGCTCAAGACTGGGGTAATGATGAGCCACGTGTTTCACAGCACTGATTTATCTTTTGTTGTTATTTTGCATTTGTTTGTTGTTGGTTGTTTGTTTTTTTTTTTCTTTCTTTAATATATAGCATTGACATGACCCTGAAAGAAAACGCAGCGCTGCCAGGCACTTGAAGGAGAGTCTTCGCTTGGATTTTCATCACCCAGGCACCCATCCATGCCCATGGTGTACAATAGGCAATTTCGGTTAATTTTGTTTGGTTTACGATTTTTCTGTGTCATTCAGCAATTCAAGAAGACCAAAAGAGCCAGTCCTGTTGCCATGGAAATAGCAGAATTTTGGAGCTTGTTATTTGTGTTGTTTTCAGAAATACAGTTTTCATTAGGAAAGCTGTTATCATCTAGTGTTTTCTCTGTGTGTGTGCAGTTTCAGTTTAGAAGGATGCCATTTTACCAACAGTGTGCCTCATGAACAAGACAATGAGGATGTGGATTTTTGTTTCATTTTTGTCTTCAGCATATTAATGTTGATGCATAGCTGAACAGAATAGTTGTTGTTACAATAAATGTTATCTTGGTTGTGTCACAGAGCAGCAACAACTTTATTGTTTAAAAATAATTCTAGAACTGATGCAGGACTTCCTTGAATTTGTCTTTTTCTTGCTGTCTGAAAAGTCTTTCCACGTTCATTTAACCCTAATGACTTTTTTATTCGGTCAGAGAGAAGATTGATATACTAAAAAAAATAATAATTAGTCATCCAACGGACTTACCAGAGGAACAATGAGTAACTGAAAATAATTTTATTTTAATAACTTAGTTTAGGATCTTTTATTTTAGGGATAGTTTTTGTAGAAGCAGCTAATCCTGTTAAATGGTTGTCATCTATTCTAAAAGCCTCAAAGCGTTGATTTGTTGTTACTGTTTTTTAAATCTGTTTTCCAGAACTTTGAGTCTTCAAATGGCATCCTGACTCCAATTGTAAAGGGGGTTAATGCTATGAATATGAAACAAATACTTCGTATTTCCAAATATCAACTCCAAGTTAAATGTATAAATCTACAGTTGGGAGTCATACTCATCTGTTGGGTATAGATGTCAAAATATTATTCAAAGTGTACCTAATGTATAAAAAGAAGCATTATAATGCAGTTTACTGTCTGTGTCATAGAACACTGCAGTAAAACATGAAAAGGAGGAAAAAACCCAAAAAACATAAGCACTTCTTGTTTGCTGCTGTTCTGTGTACTGGCACAAAAGACATTGCAGTGTAAGCCCTCATATTCACTGGAAAAGGACTGCACTTTCTCAGACCATTCTTTTGCAAGAGAGCGCAAATTAATGAACGCACGCCTGCGCTTTGCAAACCTGCTGATTCACCTGCCTTTTGGGATGTCCTAACAGAAGTAAGAGTGTTATGCACTCCCTGGAATATTATTCTTGTAGTCAAGAGATTCCCATATGCTCTAGAATTACATCTGTGGATTCTCTACTTTGTCTGTAAATAAGTCCTTAGACGTAAGGATTCAGGGTAATTTGCACCTTCTTTTTATGTGTGCACTAACTCCAGTCCTGCTTCCAGTCTAGAATTATTTATTAAAAAGGAGACATGCAGAAGTTTTCTTGGGGATAAAGTTTAAGGAAAAGGACAGCATGAGCCTTGATTTCCCCCCCACCCCCCCCCATTAGGATCTAAACTGAGAGTGAAAAATGTATTTCACCCTTCATTTAAAAGATTGATGTTTTTGTTCTCTGGTTGGCACATATCCGTCTTTGTTAGTTTCTGTCTTGTATTTGCAAGCTAGTCTGCAGGCAAGGAAGCAAGCATCCAACACGGTGTGGACAGTTCTTCAGCTCCTGTAACGAAGAGTGATGAAACTGTCAGACATGCAAGAACTTGCCAAATGCTTTCTTACCTGCCAGCATCAAAACTGAAATTGCTGCACCTCTGCAGTCCTTGCTCTGTGCTGACAGGCAGTGGTGCATCATCTCTCCCTCACTCTGGCTAGTCTGCTGTATTGCATCCTTCTGTCAGTTCCTGTTCATTTTCACAGAGGAAGGGCCTAATCCTGTTGACAGTTGCTGATGTATAACCTTGCCCTATATTAGGATCTGTTAGTTTCCACCTTTCCTCAGATATTTGAATCTTGGCTTGTGTCTGCCTTATAAAAGTGCTGTAACTTAGTATATTGGGGATAATGTTTTCTGTACAGATCAATACTTGTTTTAACTTCCAGATGCTAATTAAGCTTCACCTAGATCTAAACTATTAAAAGTATTTAGTAGCATGAAGTCACATCTTCTGTAGACCTGTAGTTTAAGCCACACAGAACAAGCCAGATGGTTCAGGTTATTCTATAGGCAAGAGAAGTGTCTGCTAGAAGGGTTTCAGCACAGATCTTTATGCACTGTTTGAGACCTAAGTGGGATTTAGGAGATTTGTATTCTTCGTGGTGGATGTGAGCTCAGAGGTGAGTTTAACTCCAAAGGCTTTGTGTGAATCTGCTAAACAGCAAAGCTAGACATGAATTAATGTGATTAATGTGGCAGCCTGGGACAGAAGGAATCTGTTTGCACCAAATATCACATTAAAACAAAATGGGGCATCCATGTGACAGTGCAAAAATGATTGCAAGATCAAGGTGTGGTTATCTTTGCTTATTAATATATTTTGAAAAGTTTTTTAATGTTAGGGCAATTCTATATTATACTAATGATGTATCAATATTAATAAATTGGTAGTTTGTTGAAAGAGGACTATGGTACGTATAATTGCACAGGTATAATCTTTTATATACAGATTTTTTCTACTGTGTATCAGAGTGCTCAGATAAAAGGTATAAATTAGTAGTTGCAAATTTGTTTTGTTGAAAGGCTTATGCTGACTTAAATTACAGATTAAGCAATACAAGGATATCTAATATCATTGTATGCATATATATACACACATGTGAATCAGAAATAAAGAACTGCAACCCACCACTGGAAGTATTTCATTTCAGCTCCAACTTCTTTTCTTTATTCCCTGGGTGCATAGAAACACTTGACTGTTTCAAATCACAGTTCTTTGTATAGTTACAAGTATCCTTTTCTTTCCATTCCCTACCTATCTTTCAAAAAATTGAGACTGAGTCCATTCTGTGTCTCTTGATGTTACTCAAGAGGCAATGTATTCAGAACCTTGCTTTGCTGATACTAGCAATACTGTTCCTGGCAGGGGGGTTGGAGGAGGGGTGAAAAAGCAGGAAGAGCTTCTCAAATTGCTCTCTAGTTTGTGTTTATACCATTCTCTAAAAATTAAATGCATGGATAGTCTCACTCCATCTCATATGGCGGGCAGAAAACGGAAGCTATGGGGCAGAAACATACGGACTGTGGAACCACCCTGAGCAGTTTAACAAGGTTATTGACTGTGGTAAAGGAAGGAGTCAGAGCTGGTCCAGACTGGTTCAGTCCTCTCACCTACCTGTTACCACGTGCCCACTCCTGTCCCAATCTGCATCAGTGTCAAAGGGGTCAGTTTATGCTGCCAGTACTTTAAGCAAACTTTCTGGACACCTAACCTGGAGCATTGGCCAGCGAGGCACCAAATATGAGCTGAACGTTAGCTAAAAGCTAAAATAGGAGTTTAATGGCCACCCACCTGCAAGCAACTCTATTAATGCTCCCAGACCTTGTCAGTGCAAAGTCAAAGAAGCTGGATTAAACCAACCTGTCATCCTTGTTGAAAGTAGTCTTATTAACTTTTGATAGGTTTGAAGATTTATCGAATCTTTAGTGGTTGGTAATTTAGGGCTTAAACTGGGCCTCAGAAGCAGACTTACTTACGGCCATGTCCTACAAATGAAATGCTGCTAGACTTCAGGCATCTTAAACTCTATTTTGCTTATCTTTTTCCAGGTCCTTGCAATATAATTTTATTACAGTTTAAATGTTTTGTTGGCAGTTGATCTCTGATGTGCAGTAATACAGGTTCACTTATATCCTCAGTCTCAGGGGTTGGAATGGCTACGCTATGTCCAGCTACAGTGCTGTAGCTGGGAGAGCTGTGGATCATCCTAATAAATACCATCAGTCACTGTAATGAGAGCTCAGGTATTTTTCCCTTACTTACCTACTGTGCGCCTCCCCACCTGGCAGTTTATGTCTTTCCGTAATTTGGCCAATCACAATGCTGATGAGTGGCTTTTGTAGCCTGGAACACTGTTGGAATAGATGCAGCTATTTATACAAGGAGAAGCTGAAAATGCAGGTAGGTCGTAAGAGGGAAGCCTTATTTTTAAGAATGAAAATCCTAGTGTGTTAACTGTTGACATCTTCCTGTTCTCAGTCTCTAAGCAGTCCGTGCTGTGAACATTTGAGATATCTTAACATTTTTCTCCAGAAAAAAGGTGTAAAAGTACTAAACTGTATGTTCTGCTTATTTGCTCTTACTTCAGGAGTGGAAAAAACAAGATTTCTCATAGATTTTTTTTCTCATAGATTTTTCTAGGATTGTGATGAAATCAGTTTTCAGCTCATTTCAGTGGCATGAAGTCTATCAGCTGAAAGGGAAGTCCATTGTCATACAGTAATCAGTGTTATCACTCCTTTCCCAACTGTGTTAATATTCTGCTTCCCCACTTCTCCTGTACTTATA